AACCAAGTTGCGGCTGGGTGGGTGGGATGTTTGCAAGAGCATGAGATGTGTCACATCATGGGTAAAACCAATTCTTTTTTCTTTAAAAAACAAAAAACTCTACCCCCCCCGGCGTTATCGGTCCCCTTTTCGGTATGTAAAATAAATAAATATAAATATTTATATATTAGATATATATTTATATATATATATATATATATAATATAGTATATATATATAATATGACTCTGACCACATGTCCATCCTGAACATGAATTTACACTATCCCCGGGGGGCCGGGTTCCCCCCCCTGAGGTTCCCTTGTAAAAAAACAATATGCGGTGACATTTGTTGCTCTAACATAGAACTTTTTTTTCGCAAATCCCTGGCAAAACATGGGATGAAGTGCGCACGCGCGCGTCGTTGCGCGCGCATGCCGAAATCCTTCAAAAACCTTCGGTGCCGGAAGGATTTCGCAATCGAGTTTCCCAAAAACATACAAAAACACAGGGTTTCGTAACACTGATGTGCTGAAAAAGCTTACGCGCGAGCTCTTGCGAAATCTGAAGAATAACCATTGGTTTTTTCCAGATTTTCACAACATGCTACCAACCGGGCGTCGCGCGCACGCATGTCGAAATCTGTCGAACGCCCTTGCGCGTGTGCCGTCGCGAGAATCCTCTGCAAAAAATGTGACTAAGTGCAGACGCGCGCGTCGTCGTGCGCGCACGCCGAAATCCATCAAAACCCATCGTTTTCGGAAGGATTTCAAAATCGCGCGTCCAAAAAAACTACAAAAACACAAAGTTTCGCAACATGGATTTTCAACAAAAGCGTGCGCGCGCGCGCTCTTGCGGCGTCGTCGTCGTCGTCGTCGTCGTCGTCGCCGTCCTCCCTCCTCCCGCGTCGTCGTCGTCGTCGTCGCCTACGTCGTCCTCTGTCTTTCCTCGTGTTCGTCGTCGTCGTCCTCTTTGGCGTCGTGGTCGTTTCCGTCGTCGTTGTCGCCGTGGTCGTCCTTCCTCCTCCTCCCTCGTCGTCGTCGTCGTCGTCCGTCGTCGGCGTCTCGTCGTCGTCCCTCCTATTTCGTCGCCGTCGTCGTCGTCGTTGTCGTCGTCGTCTTGTCCCTCCTCCACCTTCGTCGTTGTCGTCGTCGGCGTCGCCGTCCTTCCTCCTTCTTCGTCGTTCGCGTCGTCGCCGTCCTCCCTCCTCCCTCGTCGTTGTCGTCGTTGTCGTCGTTGTCGCCGTCGTCGTCCTCCCTCCTCCCTCGTCGTCGCCTTCGTTGGCGACGTCGTCGTCGTCTTCGTCGTCGTCGTCGGCGTCGGCGTCGTCGTCGTCTTCGTCGTGGTCGACGTCGGCGTCGTCGTCGTCGCCGCCGTCGTCGTCGTTGTCGTCGTCCGTCGTCCCGTTCTCCCTCCTTCTTCGTCGTTCGCGTCGTTGCGTCCTCACCTCCTCCCTCGTCGTTGTCGTCGTTTGTCGCCGTCGTCGTGCTCCCTCCTCTCTCGTCGTCGGCGTGTCTTCGTTGGCGACGTCGTCGTCGTCGTCGTCTACGTCGTCGTCGTCGTCGTCGTCGTCGTCGCCTACGTTGTCCTCTGTTTTTCCTCGTGTTCGTCGTCGTCGTCCTCTTTGGCGTCGTGGTCGTTTCCGTCGTCGTTGTCGCCGTGGTCGTCCTTCCTCCTCCTCCCTCGTCGTCGTCGTCGTCGTCGTCCGTCGTCGGCGCCTCGTCGTCGTCCCTCCTATTTCGTCGCCGTCGTCGTCGTTGTCGTCGTCGTCGTCTTGTCGTCGTCTTTCCTCCACCCTCGTCGTTGTCGTCGTCGGCGTCGCCGTCCTTCCTCCTTCTTCGTCGTTCGCGTCGTCGCCGTCCTCCCTCCTCCCTCGTTGTCGTCGTTGTCGTCGTTGTCGCCGTCGTCGTCCTCCCTCCTCCCTCGTCGTCGTCTTCGTTGGCGACGTCGTCGTCGTCGTCGGCGTCGGCGTCGTCGTCTTCTTCGTCGTCGACGTCGGCGTCGTCGTCGTCGCCGCCGTCGTCATCATCGTGGGCGTCGTCGAGGGCCGTCTTGCTTCTCCGGCCTTCTTGGGGCGCTCTTGAGACGCCCCCGAAGGCTCCAAGACGACCCCAGAGCGATATTTGTGCTCGGTCCCGCATGGGTTGTACAAACCAAGTTGCGGGTGGGTGGGTGGGATGATTGCGCGAGCAGCGGAGTTGACAACTTCAAGTTCGCAAAAGGAATAAATTGCATCATGTAGATTGCACCGCGTAGGGGTGCACCACATATCTTTTCCTTTGTGCAAGAATATAAACATCGCACCCCCCCCCCCCCTTCCCCTCCCCCCCCATCCGGATTTACCCGCCCGCCTTTTCGCATTGCACTGTACATGTGACTAGGCCCATCGTCCATCCTAAATACATATGAATTCGCAAAGCCCCAGCCAAGCCGGTAACGGTTCCCTCCTCATCTTTTGTGGCAAATTTCATGCGCGTGCGCTCGCTGATCACAAAACATCAGTTGTCAAGAGACCTTTTGCATCAAATGGGACGAAATGCGCACGCGCGTGCCGTCGCGCGCGCGTGCCGCAATCCTTCAAACCCCTGATGTGCCGTAAGGATGTCAAACTCGAGTGTCGCGAAAACATATAGAAGCACATGGACCTCAACGCGGATTCTGCGATTGCTTACGGAAGCCGTACGCTTTTGAATATTTTCGTAACGTGCTACAAAACTGGCCTCTCGCGCGTGCATGTCGAAATCGTTCGAACGCCTTTGCGCGCGTGCTGTCGCGAGAACCGTCGGCAACAAAAACGGGACGAAATGCGCGCGCGTTGTCGCGCGCGCCTGCCGAAATCGTTCAAAAACCTTTGGTGTCGTAGAGATGCTTAAGAAAGAGCGCCCCGAAACCATACAAGAAAATGCGCGTGGTTTCGCAACAGCAGTTTTAAAACCAAAACAAACAACTGCGCGCACGCTCTTGCAGATTCGGAGGACAACCATGGGTCTTTCAACATTGTCATCAGACTCTGCCAGCCTGGTCTTTCGCGCCGCATGTCGAGCTCATACGAGCGCCCTTGCGCGCACGCTGGGGGGCACGATCCGTGTCACATAATACCAAGCGGGCCACTCGCGCGCGTCGGCCGCGCGCGCGTGCCGACTCCATCACTGACGCGACGACGTCGTCATCGTTGTCGGCGGGCGCGCGATCAACATCGGCGCCTTTCTTGGCCTTGCTGTCGTCATCGCCACCATCGCCACCAGCATCACTACTTCCATCATCGTGCCTACCGTTGTCGGCGTCACCATGATACCGCGCCCGCCAAAATCACCAACTCGCACTGAAGTGCCCACTGGAAGTGCCCAACGGCCAGCGCCACCGCGGCCGCGTCGGTCGCGCCGCACTAGCTGGTCGCTGCGCGCACGAGCATGCGCGGGCTGGCGCGGCCGCAGAGATGCACCAGCCAACGCCAAACACACATCGCAATCGCCGTCGCATGGTTTTGCAAACCAAATTGCGGGTGGGTGGGTGGGATGTTTGTGCGAGCAATGGAGTTGACAACTCACTGCGAGCACTGGTGAATTGCAGCGCGTAGATTGCACAACATATTCGCCGGGCCAGAGACGTGCTAAGATCTCGGGTAACAAGTTAACAATATAACAAACTCGCGCGCGCGAGGCGGCCCCTGGGGGCCCCGACGCGACAAGTACCCCGCCAAAATCCTGGCAAGTGCCCGTCAGAGATGCCCGAAGCCCCCCAGACGGCCCAAGAGGCACCCAAGACGGCCTCAAGAGAGCGCCCAGATGGTCCAAGAGCCCTTGGAGTCCTCGAAAGATCGGCCGACGATGCCACAAAATCGCTCCAAGACGCCCACCATGGCCTCCAGACGCCCCCCAAAGCTTCCAAAAGCACTCCCAAGAGGGCCCCAGAGGGAACATTTATTGATTTTCCATAGGTTTTGGATACATTTTCGGGTTTGGGCGTCCTGACGCTCCAAGATGGCCCAAGAGGCCCCCAAGATCGCCCAAAGAGGACCCCAAAACAGCCCCAAGACGACCCAAGATGGCCCCAAGAGGCGCCCAAGACGGTCCAATAGTCCCAAAACGGCCCCAAGAGGGGCCCAAGAAGGTGAACAGGAATCGAAAAGTCCAGCCTTCAGTCCCAAGAGGCCCCCAGCAGGCCCCAAGAGGCCCCCAAGAGGTCCCAAGGGGCCTCTTGGGCACCCCAAGAAGCTCCCAAGAGGCCCCCAAGAGGCCCCCAAGAGGCCCCAACACGGCCCTCAAGAGGCCTCAAAACTGCTTCCCAAAAGGCCCCTGAGTGGCCAACCGCGAGAGCCCAACCAACATCCGTGAGGCCTCTGACCCGCCACCCACCGCCTCCGAAAAATGACAGCCGCCCAACCGCACCGCATTGACAACAACACCCCGACAAACGACAGCGGCGAGGTAATATGGGCCGGCGGAATGAGCGAAACGATTAAATAATACTAGAAACACACTTTTGGGGGGCCCACGCTGGCCAACATTTTTGAGTTCCTGGGCTTTACTCATCATTGTTTGTTATCGTGCCCCCTCAGACCTCCCCTTGAAAGATCTGGCTGCGCAGGCCATGGGAGAAGCCCGCTATATAAGAAGCACCGTCAACGGCGCCCCGTGGGCACTTCAAACGAGAGAACGCTCGAGATGACGTGCTGACGCCGACTTCGCCCGAATATCAAATGGGGCAATCGATTTGTATTTGCGTGCCGCCCAAAACGGGCACGAGACTCGAAGAGAAAGGGCCGCGCCGTGCCGCCAATAGTCGGCACGGGGATGCCAGGGGCCCCTGGAATCGGGCAGCAGACTGTGCTGCGCCTGCCCCGGACCTCTGGTCCCTCCCCTCCCCCCTCTCTTCCTCACCCTCCCCCCCCCCCCCCTGAGCGCCGCTGAGCAGGCGCCGCTCCTGTGCTCTTTATGTACACCAGCGCGACCCTTGAAAGATCGGCCGTGTCGTCATTCTGGTAGGCGCTGGCCGCCCGAGGCGGTCCAGCAGGCCGTCACTGGGTTCCGCCCCCGCCCCAACCCTTCCTCCGCAAGGTCACCCCAATTGTCCCCCGTGTGTGGGCTGCGGGCAGACCGGAAGCTCCTGCGCATTGCGGCGCGCACGTGGGTTTCGAATTCCAGAGAGCGTTAACTGTCTAGTGACATTTACACAAGCCCGTGACGCCATACTGGCTCTTGAAACAAGCAGGCACATGCACACCCGAGAGGAATGGGCAGCGCCGCCATCAAATCGACTCAACTCCGAATGCTGAGGTAGGAGGAAGAAAACGAGACAACGAAGAGAAGTTCAGCGACAAACGCGAGCTGAGGACAAGGAATGCGACACGATGACAATATTAAATGTTGCAGGCACGCCCCCAACATCCGCAGAGGATGGACGACTTAACTGCAGTAAATATGCACGTGCAAACATATATCTCAAGCAGCCATGAAACTCTAAAGCCTAGGGATTCAAATGACGGCGGCGCACGAACGGCGCCATTCAGAATAGCCTACACTGGCGCCGAACTCGTTGGGCAGAGGCGGCCCGTGGTGAGTGAAGGCTCGAACTCGGACTCGGGGAGCACCCGTCCGCCGTGAGGAAGCCGGACCAAGCGTCCGTCCGACAGGCTCCCGGGCACTCTGTAGCGGGGGCGCGAGGGCGAACAAGGAGCAAGGCTTTGAGCCTTCTCTCCCGAGGCATGCCCGAGAAAGTTAGGAGCGGGAGGAAGAGGGGAGAAGGAAGGAAGTGGGATGAGAAGGGCGAAGGGGCAGAAGGCCGAGCTTCCGCAGCGCGGACCCTAGGACGCGAAGCCAGCAGCCAGGGGGAGGCCTCCTCGCACGCGCGCCCTGCCTGGTCACATGCAGCCGCACCAGGTGTGGCAGCCCGCCTGTGCCACGCGGCCTTCGATGCCGAATCCGCGGCCGAGCCCGCCGCCGCCGCCGAGGGCTCCCCTTTTGCCGAACATGGCCTTCAGGATGTCGAGCTGGTCCTCCACTACCAGGGAGCCGCAGGCAACCTCATCGGCCACATCGTCAACGTCCACACCGTATTTGCGCTTGTGCAGGGCCTTGATGCCTTGCAGTCTCTCCTCCAGAGCTGCGAGTGGACCACAACCCTCGGTCACCTGCCACTTGGTGCCGTCCGCGTCCTCGAAGAGGCTCTCGTCCTCCTCTTTTTCCAGGTCCAGGCCGAACTTGCTCTTGTACAGGGCCTTTAAGTCATCCAGCCTGTCCTCCAGTCCGGTGAGCAAGCCACGGCCCTCGGTCACCTGCCACTTGGTGCCGTCCACGTCCTCGAAGAGGCTCTCGTCCTCCTCTTCCAGGTCCAGGCCGTATTTACGCTTGTACAATGCCTTGATGTCGTGCAGCCTCTCCTCCAGAGCTGCGAGTGGACCACAGCCCTCGGTCACCTGCCACTTGGTGCCATCCGCGTCCTCGAAAAAGCTCTCGTCCTCCTCGTCCAAGACGAACTTGCGCTTGTCCGCCACCGTACCGCTGGGCACGGAGTCCGGGGCTTCCCGCGGCTTGTCGCATACTTGTTCGGACCCAAGAGGGCTTCTAGACGGGCCAAGAGGGCCCCAAAAGGCCGCCAAGGAGGTCCAAAAGGGCCCCGAGTCGCCGAACGATCGCTCCAAGACGCTCGAAATGCCCCCCAAACGGCCCACGTAAGGGTTCCAAGAGGCCTTCCTAGAGGGCCCCAAGAAGCCACATTATTGATTTCCGCAAGTTTTTGAAGAATGTTGGCGTTCTCGCACTATGTAATGGGTTGAAGCGGGATGCAGAACATACAATTTGGGCAAAAAAATAAAAAAAAATAAAAAATAAAAAAAAAAAAAAAAAAAAAAAAAAAAAAAAAAAAAAACAAAAAAAAAAAAATAAAAAAAAAAAAAATAAAAAAAAAAAAAAAAAAAAAAAAAAAAGAAAAAAAAAAAAAAAAAAAAAAATAAAAAAAAAAAAAAAAAAAAAAAAAAAAAACAAAAAAAAAAAAAAAAAAAAAAAAAAAAAAAAAAAAAAAAAAAAAACAAAAAAAAAAAAAAAAAAAAAAAAAAAAAAAAAAAAAATAAAAAAATTAAAAAAAAAAAAAAAAAAAAAGACGGGATGCAGAACATACAATTTGGGCGGAACATGAAGTGCCCGAAATATGGCGGCACGCCACGGTGAGCACGATATACAAAAACAAGGGCCCAGCCCACACATGTGAAACTTAACGACCAAACAGTTTACTCTGTGTGGCGTACAAGCTCCTAGCCAACCTCCTCTTGCATCGTCTACAACAAGCAGGGGCGGATGACCGGCTGTCTCGAACTCAATGAGGTTTCCGCAATGGGCGAGGCACAACAGATGCCAGTCATGATACAAATTATCCCGGCGAAGGACCCAACCATATGCAGTTGTGAACAACGCGTTGTGCGTGCCGTTTTCGGCGGAGCTTCCTATAGGGCCACGAAGCGCGTGAGGGACGTGCACTAATGGGTGGGGGAGACGCATGCGGGCGGTGCCGCTGGGGCCTTCGGTGGGGCTCCCTATGGGCCACGAGACGCTGTACAGGGCGTGGCGGACGCATGCGGGCGGTGCCTTTCGCTGGAGCTCCTGATGAGGCCACGAAGCGCTGTGCTGGTTGGGAAAGGCGCACGCGGGCGGTGCCACTAGGGTCATTCTGTGGAGCTCCCTACGGGGCCACGAAACGCTGTACTGGGTAGTGGCCGACGCATGCGGGAGGTGCAGTGGGGGCTTCGGTGGGCCCCTTTATGGGGCCAGGAAACGCTGTGCTGGGAGGGGGGACGCATGCGGACGGTGCCACTGGGGCCTTCGGTAGAACTCCCTATGGGCCCACGAAGCGCTGCAATGGGTGGGGTTCGCATGCGGGCGGACCACTGGAGCTCCCTACGGGGCTACGAAACGCTGTGCCGGGTGGGAGGGGGCGCATGCGGGCGGTCCACTGGGGCTTGGTAGAGCTCCCGATCAGTGGGGCCGCGAAGTGGAGTACTGGGTGGTGGACGACGCATGCGGGCGGTGCCACTTGGGTTTTTCTGTGGAGCTCCCCCTGTGGCCACGAAGCGCTGTACAGGATGGTGGCTGACGCATTCGGGCGGCACCACTGGGACCATCGGTGGAGCTCCCTATGGGGCCACCAAACGCTGCACCTTGTGGTGGCTGACGCATGCGGGCGGCCCCCACTGGGACCTTCGGTGGAGCACCCTATGGGACCACGAAACACTGCACAGGGTGGTGGCTGACGCATGCGGGCGGTGCCACTGGGGCCTTCGGTGGAGCTCCCTATGGGGCCACGAAGCGCTGTGCTGGGTGGTGGCTGACGCAGGCGGGCGGTGCCACTGGTACCTTGGGTGGAGCTCCCTATGTGACCACGAAACGCTGCACTGGGTGGGTGGTGGTTGACGCGTGCGGGCGGTCCCACTGGAACCTTCGGCGGAACTCCTGAATTATTGGGCCACGAAGCGCTGTACTGGGTGGGTGAAACGCAGGGAGGAAGGGCTGTGCTGGGTGGTGGTTGACGCACGCGGGCGGTGCCACTGGGACCTTCGGTGGAGCTCCCCAAGGGGCCACGAAGCGCTGTACAAGGTGGGTGAATCGCAAGGAGGAAGGGCTGTGCTGGGTGGTGGTTGACGCATGCGGGCGGTCCCACTGGGACCTTCGGTGGAGCTCCCTATGGGGCCACGAAGCGCTGTACTGAGTGGGTGAAGCGCGGGGAAAAAGGGCTGTGTTGGGTGGTGGTTTGACGCATGCGGGCGGCCCCACTGGGTGGGACCTTCGGTGGAGCTTCCCATGGGGCCACGAAGCGCTGTACTGTGTGCTGGGTGGTGGTTGACGCATGCGGGCGGTGCCACTGGGACCTTCGGTGGAGCTCCCTATAAGGCCACGAAGCGCTGTACCAGGTGGATGAATCGCATGGAGGAAGGGCTGTGCTGGGTGGTGGTCGACGCGTGCGGGCGGTCCCACGGGACCTTCGGTGGAGCTCCCTATGGAATCCACGCAACGCTGTTGGGTGGGTGAATCGCGGGAAGAGGCGGCTGTGCTGGGTGGTGGTCGACGCGTGCAGGCGGTCCCACTGGGACCTTCGGTGGAGCTCCCTATGGGGGGGTGGGTGAATTGCAGGGGGGAGGACTGTGCTGGGTGGTGGTTGACGCGTGCGGGCGGTCCCACTGGAACCTTCGGCGGAACTCCTTAATTATTGGGCCACGAAGCGCTGTACTGCGTGCACGCAGATGTCGTCGAACCAGAATTTTCAGTTTGCCCAGACATTTTATACGCAGATGATACAATGCTTGCGAGTAGCAGCGCCAAGAATTTGCAGACGTTGCTAGACGCTGTGATTGGCGAAGGAAAAAAGTACGGCCTCGAATTAAATTGGGCCAAGACGGTGGCCATTAATATACAGAACAATGGGGTTGTCAAGACCCCCTCGGGCACCCCAGTGGCCCCTGCACGGCAAGTTGTTTATTTAGGTGGTCTTCTAAACGCAGACGCCACCGCCAAGCCGGAGCTAACGCGGCGCCTCGGAGAGGCTCGCGGTGTGTTCACAGCCTTACAGCGTTGTTGGTCACACGCCAACATTACGAGATCTAGGAAGCTCGAGCTGTACAGTGCGATTGTGCTTCCAAAGCTTTTACACAATTTAGAAACACTGTGGCTTTTAAAAGCAGACAAAAAGAGATTAGACAGTTTCAATGCGCAGTGTCTCAGGCGTATTTGCCGCATTCCACATTCATATTTGTCGAGAGTGTCCAACGACCAAGTTTTGAACATATGTCGAGCCCGCCCTCTCAGCGAGGCGCTTTGTGAGAGACAGACTTCGCTATACAACAAGATCGCAGGGTTGTCACAAGACCACCCGCTGCGAGCTCTCACCTGCAAGCCCGGATCATATTTACCTCGGGTCTGGGACCAATGCTGGAAGAGAGGCAGACCGAAGCAACAGTGGGCTTCGTGTGTTTACAAGCTTCTGCCACAACAGTGGTCCTGAGGTGGTCCCTCCCCCTTCTTCGTTCCCTCCTCCCTCCGCCCCCCCCCTTCCTCCCCCTCCTCCCGCGTGGCGCCGATACGTTTGCAAGTGAATTCGTATCCTTCTCACTGCCCGCATTTCTCTGCCACACGCATAACTTTTTATCTTGCCAATGCGCCGTCTGTGCGCCAGGCTTGACTGACTGACTGAAGCGCTGTACTGGGTGGGTGAAACGCAGGGAGGAAGGGCTGTGCTGGGTGGTGGTTGACGCACGCGGGCGGTGCCACTGGGACCTTCGGTGGAGCTCCCCAATGGGCCACGAAACGCTGTACAAGGTGGATGAATCGCATGGAGGAAGGGCTGTGCTGGGTGGTGGTCGACGCGTGCGGGCGGTCCCACGGGACCTTCGGTGGAGCTCCCTATGGAATCCACGCAACGCTGTTGGGTAGGTGAACCGCGGGAAGAGGCGGCTGTGCTGGGTGGTGGTCGACGCGTGCGGGCGGTCCCACTGGGACCTTCGGTGGAGCTCCCTATGTATGGGGCCACGAAGCGCTGTATTGGGTGGGTGAATTGCAGGGGGGAGGACTGTGCTGGGTGGTGGTTGACGAATGCGGGCGGTGCCACTGGGGCCTTCGGTGGAGCTCCCTATGGGGCTACGAAGCGCTGTGCAGGGTGGATGAGGCGCAGGGAGGAGGGAGGAGGGGGGAGGGTGAGGAGGGGGAGGGAGGAGGAGGAACGCGGGGACCGTCTCTTCAAAACGAAGACCCAACACCACAGGATGGTTGGGGACACGTTTGATTTCATGAACGTCGAAGCTTTGCTAGCAGCGCTGCGCCGTTTCGGGGTGCCCCTGAACATGCTTACGCTGATAGGGAATATTTGCGAGGCCAGGCGACTCTGCGTGGCCGGCGGGGTAATCAAATCTTCTGAAGGAAAGCAGATGTCTTGAATCTAACAAGGGTGCCCGCTATCGCAATTTCTCTCCGTCGTGCTGATGACTGTACCTTAGCGAGACGCCACGAACAACCTGAACGCCAATGATAAGCTCGACATGTATTCCGGGAATTCGCCGACATGTGTTGGGTGGGTCTCTAGGCGCGTGGGATTCTTCCCCCTCCCTGAACCCCTCCCCCAGGGACCTCGAGCTGACCTTTTGACCCCATCTCCCTCGTCCGGTACGAACGCACCCATGCCCGGGACGAACGCATCATGGGGGGATAGAGGGCTCTCCGACGACCCTAGAGCACCCCAAGAGGCTCCCAAGACGGTTCAAGAGAGCCCCGAGTCGCTGAAAGATCGTTCCAAGACGCCCAAGATAGCTTCCAGACGGCCCAAGATGCCCCCGCGACGCTCCAAACAGCCTCTATGAGGCCTCCGAGGATGGCCCCGAGAGGCAAACTATGTTGACATCTCTTGAGGAAACGTATATTCTTCGCAAAAAAAACATGAGCCTGGCGAAAGACCCAACCATATGCAGCTGTGAGTACCGCAATTGTGAATATCTTCTTCGGTGGC